TATAAATCAAGGAAAAATATTCTATCAAAAAACAACTTGTTTTTTTCTTTAAATAGTTTAAAGCTGTTGGTGTATATCGATATCTTTTACTTTTTGAAAAGGCATTGGCAAATGATTCTCTATATAATGGGTAAAACAAAGTTGATCACCAATTTTTAAAAAAATAAAATCTTCCCAATTTGGATGTTCATGTAATTTTTTCAATGCAATATCAGTAATTCTTCTAAATTTATCAGCATCAACAGTACTTTTACAATCAATGATTACACAAGGACCTTTATTTTGAGTATTTTTAGGCATTATTATATATGATTTAATTAAATAAAGTATGTTTGACTTTTTATTTTGTAGTTTGGATTTTTATTTTGAAAATTTACAAAGTTTTGTCTTTTTTTATATTTTTTTTTTTACTAATACAATAGCAATGAATAAGTTATCTTCTATTTTAGCATTCATCCAAAGATTTAAATTTGTAATGTTTACCCGAAAAGTCTAATTTTAGCATAATAATATTTAAATTCAGAGTTCGCCTGAAAAATCTAGTTTCAGCAATGATCATTGAGCCAATAAAATTTAATTTTTGCGTGATGTTTGGAAGGGAGATCATCACAAAATTTAGCCAATGAAATCAAACTTCCATCATGCTGGTCGAAAAAGCATAACGGAATTTCTAAATGTCGATCATTTTCCAAAAATTGTTACACAGTTATTTATATTATTTTACAATAGTCGTCCTATTAAAAATAGGTCCGTCATATGACAAGTCACAGATTTGTATATCAAAAAAAAAAATTTTTTTTTATAGGCACGTAATTTTCAAGCTTCTTTATCATATCCCATACCCTGATCAAACCTGATCAAAGGTTTTCCCATGGCAGTATTATAAGTAAAGTTTACAATAATAGGAGGTTTAAAATGTTGTAATAACATGTACAAATTTAAAATATGAAATAAAAGAGTCAATGAACTTAAACAGTATAAAAGGAACAAGAAACCTAATAATATTGCAGATAAGTTAAAATAAAATATTATCATTATGTATTTACAAATTCAATTTTTATGAAAAAATTTAAGAATTGAACTTTTTTTTGGATATATTTTAGAAATTTAAAATAGTATTATCAAAGATAACACCTAATAATATTGCATATAAGTTGAATTAAAAAATATTATCACTTACAAATTCAATTTTTACGAAAAAATTTAAGAATTAAACTTAAAAGTTACTTTTATTTGGATATATTTTAGAAATTTAAAATGGTATTATACATTTAGAGCAAAGATAACACCTAATAATATTGCAAATAAGTTAAATTAAAAATATTATCACTATTTATTTACAAATTCAATTTTTACAAAAAAATTTAAGAATTAAACTTAAAAGTTATTTTTATTGGATATATTTTAGAAATTTAAAATAGTATTATACATTTAGAGCAAAGATAACACTTAATAATACTGCAGATAAATTAAATTAAAAATATTATCACTATTTATTTACAATTCAATTTTTACAAAAAAATTTAAGAATTGAACTTAATAGTTACCTTTTTTTTGAATATATTTTAGAAATATAAAATGGTATTACATTTAGAGCATAGATAATTTTTTACCATTCTTTTATATTATTTAAAGCATTATGAAATTCAATAGACATTCTTTCTTGATTATTAATGTTCAATTCTACCTCATCTTGCTCCTCTTCGTCACCCTCTTCAGCATTTGGATTTTCTATATCTTCTTCTGTAAGTTCCTCTTTTCCTTTTTCTAATCTCTTTAAGAAGGAATCAACATTTTTATATATTCCTTTTTTGTAATATTGCTCACAATGATTGCAACCATTTTTTAAGATACTATAACAGTTTAGATGATCACATATACCATTTTGGGGGGAGATCCTGTGCTAAAACCAATGGGAAGACACATTAAATCTACTTCTAGTTCAAGAGATGCAAGTTTATATTGATTAATTTTTGATTTTCGTTTTCTCTTTTCTCCTATTTTGACAGAACCACCAAGAAGACCAAGGTTTTTATATATCTGTTGAAAATAGTTTAATAAAAACAAACTAGTTTTTTCAGATAAATATTCTAAGTCACTCATAGTGTAAGGATATCTTTTGGACTTTTGGAATGCTTCCTTAAAGGAATCTAAATCATGAGCATCTGTATATTTACAAAAGAAATCAAAGGAATATCTTCAGATTATTGAGGCACTTCAAATCAGTATATTGTAAAATAATTATTGGGTAATTTAAATAGAAGTGGTTTCAAAAAAAAAAAACAGTTTAATGGGGTCTACAGATTAAAAGGCAAAAGGCTACAGTTTAACAGGGGTAAATTTACATATATCTACATATAATTTGATTTTAATGGGAAAAAAAATATTACTTGCCAATAACATAAGCATGTTTGATTATATTATCTACAGTTGAAGTTGGTGATATGTGTGCACAAAGACGGCTATGCATGTTCTCAACATGGTAATCATTGAAGTACACTAGGTGGTTTTTTATGGCTTCTGCAAATGGATGTTTTTTATCTTTCCAGTAGAAGAAATCAGATAAAAAAACAAGAGGAGCTTTGTTGTAATTTTTTCTTTTCCAGCACAATGCAAATGTCCATATTCTAATATTGTCTCTAAATATTCTTCAAATGATCCTGACTGGAAAAGGATAGCATAAACATCAAGCACTGCTGGAATAACATTGTCAAGAAGATCTATAGCCATGCAATATTCAATATCTTTGCAAATTGGGCTAAATTTTTTCATTACTGGGGTTTTGATTTTCATCCATCCATTATGTGCCAATTCAAGTAAGATGTTTATACGCCATGGTTTTGGCTTCTTTGCTAAAATCTTCCTCCTTCCAAAGACAAAATGAAAAAGTTTTTTGAAAAAAAAATAATAGGTCTTCATTACTTGTTCACGACTATTCAGAGACACATGCAGAGGACCTAGAATTGGCAAAAAACAATTAATTTCTTTTGGAACAGATTGACTGAGTAAATGGATCATTTGAATGCAAATATGTCAATGCTTTTCTTATAAAAAGTTGCCCAGGCCAATCAGCAACTACTGTTGCTACAACATGTTGCAAATGACCAACATCTTTATTAATTGAAGTAATCATCTTTAATCCTTCCAAATAGTCCTGCATTGAATGCAATTGTCTTTCTTCTATTCCAATGAGCTGGACACCATTCATTGATCTTTCTTCCTTTCTCTCTTTTATGGCATCATCATAACTATGAATAGTTAGACATTCTATTTCATCAAAATTCATCAATATAGATTTTTGTGTCCACATATCCTTTCTTTGATTATATGGAATATCAAAAATACCATGATAGTCCCAAGTTAAATATAAACACAAGTTATTTGCATCTATATTAACAGGATTATGAATGGATATTCTGTTGAATTCAATTGGAATTGGTGGACAATTAGTAACTTGCTTAGAAACACACGTTGCCATGTGCTTGGCTGTGGAAGTTGATGTTATATCTGGTCTTCTTTTTTCTTTTATTGAATGAAAATCATCCAGATTGTATACTTATAAATGATTTTTCTATAGATATTTTGAATTAGTAAGTAGTATGATATTTTTTAAAATCATTTAATTATGTACTTACCTTCTCACAAAAATACTCTCTTAATTTAATAGGATGCTTTTTTGCAATTTTTTTCCTGTAATTCTCCACAGTCTTGGCACATACTGATATTCCAGCACTTGTCATGTATCAATTGCATCTCAACAGGTACCTTTTGCTGCTAAATACAATCCAATATATAGTTTGTAATCATTTACAAACTTATTTCTCATTCCAGCCATTTGATAGCACAATGCCACAACTGCAGTCTTTCCTTCATACTGATTGTATGCTAATCTGGTTTTTGGTATAAGTGCATCACACATTTCTTTAAAAAAATCTTTCAGTGGGGTTGCTCTTCTTCAATTAGATCTTGAAACTTAATTGGGTCCAATTAATCATTGCCTTTCTTTCTTTGTAGGTTGTGTACTGCTTTTGTTAACATTTCCAAGTTATTGACAAGTCCTAAATTCTTATTTACCTCTGAAAATAATATATTGATTAATAAATTTGAGATAAGAAACTACTTTAAAGTGTCATGTAATAATAAACTTTACCAGCACCAATAGTTTCTCCACTATTTATATCTTTTGATTTATCATCTGATAGATCAGATGGTGGAATTTCTGTATTTTTATAACGGGTATATCTGTCAGGCTCTGCAATAGCTAAATAATGTGGATAGCAAATTGGTTGACCAATTTCCAAGTAATTATATATAGGATAGGATCCTTTTTTTACTGCCTTATCATAGGCACATTTTGTAAATGTACGGTATCTAGATTGACTTGATTGGCAATTTTGGACAGAACAAGGACCATGGATTTTATTAGGCATATTAATGTTAAAATTAATAATTTTTGAACTTATATATGTAAATCTTGTCACCAATTGTTATCTTTATTTAAGAAAAAGTTAACTTTCAATTTGATTATATACATCTAAAAATGTTATTACAAACATGTTATTAGCATGCAAGAATTGTAAAACAATGTGCAAAACATGTTATTTATCATGCAAAATATGTTATTAACATGCAAGGATCATAAAACAATGTGCAAAACATGTTATAAGCATGCAAGAAAACAACACAAAAAACATGCAAAAATTGTGAAACAGCCTGTAAATGTGTTTATTAACACAACAGAAATGTTAACATTCTATTTACTGGTGAAATAATGATTAGAATTGAATTTTATATATATTAAGTTAAATAAATAAATTCTGGCCAATAAACTCAATTAAATTTGTCGATCATTATTGACCAATCACAGAGAAATTCCGTTATGCAAGTCGAAGACCAACTCTTTAAATACATTTTCGAGTAGTACAATTTAAATTATTAGATTATTTCAAAGGTTTGTCGTATAGTTGCTTTTGACTTCTTAAATTCGCACTATTTGTTATTTGTTAACGAAATAAATGTTGGTGAAGTGATTGTTAACAGAATGAATCAAACCAACATTTATTTTTCATTATCAAATTCATGATTTTGATTGGTCAATCAATAATCGTATAGGTTAAAATTTTGTGGTCTTCTGTTTATATTATAATTAATAAAAAATGTGATTTTTTTTATATATTTTTTTTATTTTAATTTTTAATTCGATGCGAAATGTTAATTAAATAAAAAAATTAAAAAAATATGTACATCCTCAATGTAACAATGCGTTGTGCAATGTTGGGTAGGCTGCGCATCTTGAAATATGTGCAATGGTACCAGTTTTACATCGCGATGCAATTTTATAATTTAGGATCCTGATGGATAACTTATTTTCATGTCATAAATTATTTCCTGGTAGAAAAATTTCTTTATGGTAGTAAATTGACACATTGTAATTTCTTTATTTTATTTTTTTTATAGAAATATGTACATATAAAAATAAAAACTTTGTAAAATGATTATCTTAAATACAAAAATATGGCAGAGACAAGAAAAAGGGAAAAGGCAAAGTTATGTCTAAATTATTTTTATGTATGCTTAGATGCGTGAGAAAAAGTGCATATATACTTTTATAGAGTCATTATACCTCTTTTATAGTTTAAGGTTTGTGTTTGTGCTTAGAGTGAGTGTGATTAGAGTGTCCGGAAAAATGCAGATATTCCCAATATAGAGAAATTTTTCAAGTGACTCATAACCAAATTTAGAAAGAAGGAAATAAGATGAAGCTTAATAAATGAAGTATAAAGAGATGTAAATGTGAAATGATTTGAAATAAATATTTTGTGGAAAAAAAAAAGGCTTTTATAGAAATTAATCATTGATCCTCCCATAATGAAACTAATATAGAAGACCTTATTACATTGGGTACTGAATAAAGTTGTTTTCCAATCCATAATAATGGTTGTTTTTGATAGAAAAATTCATCATCATTCATGGCTTCATCTAAATATTTGGAAACAAATTCCCTAGCCTTCTTCAATGCTTTTGGTATTTCCAAATTGTCAGGATAAAATTTACTGGAATAATTCAACAATCTAATACAATAACTTGTTTCTTCCAATGTTCCCATACCAATTTCTGAAACAAATCCCCAACTGCCATCACTATGTTGAGTTTGTAGACACCAATTAACTGTTTTCAAGCAGTATTCAAGCAAGTTATCTTGATTCTTTAATATGGAATTTTCTACAATTTCAGGATATGATAATAATGATAGTAACAGGTTGTTGACTTTGAAGGTTGCGTATGATAGACTTGCATGCCATTTATCTGACCAAGTGGCCATTTCACTTCTATTGAATATAATTAATTGTATAACAGTAGATATGACTTGTTGAATTGTTATTTTTTTGCCAGCTTCAGTTTTTGTTGGAATTGTAATGATATAATTGACTTCATTGTCGCTGCATTTACCTTTTGAATATTTTGCAAGCAACAACCTTAATGCATGTACATTCGAACTCATGGAAACAGTTCTTTCACCGGGATATGTCACAAAATTCCTTCCATTGTAAAATGTGGCACCTAATTTTTTTAAATTGCATTCAATTCCAGGAAGTATTTGATCTATTATCCAATGACATGTCACAGTGATATCAACATCTGCTGGAATTCTGCTCTCCCATGATGTCCACCTTATAATGTCCTTTTGTAAATTGACAACATGTCTTATAAATTCGGCAGTTACTTTGTTTTTTTCAAGTAAACTTTGGATTAATTTACTACTATCTGACATGATGTTATTAATGTAATCGTTGTTGTTATTATTATGGAATTTCGTAACCTTTGAAACAAACTCGACCATAGATTGCATCATCCAAGATGTTTCAAATATACCAACATCACTAATAGTTGGAACATATCCAAGGCTTGTACCACCTGCTGGCACTCTAGCAATAATTTTTTGTAAGAATTTATAGGCTTTTGGATCCCAATTTGGTGAATTAATAAGCACGGAGGCAGTTGCAGCAGCTGAAGATCCATAACTACCATTTATTGCTTGGAAACCTTCATTTTGAATTTTGGTGAAATCTATTTTGTTGCCAAATGCTTCAATTGAATGAATCATTGATACTGGTTGACGTTTTTCTGCCAATGCAAATAGTGCTTCAATAGGTATCAGGTTCATTTTTCTGGCATGTTCCTTAATTAATTTTTGTTTATCAGGGAATTGAAATACCACACTTGGTTTAAGTTTTTCTAATTCGTTGAGCATATATGGAACTGTCAACTCAAAACCAACATAGTCGATTTCATTAATATTCCATTGATTTAGACTAGGTATTAAGGGAAATGAATGAATTAATGAATTGATTAGTGAATAAAGAATAAATACGTGAGATCACGTGTAGTGTTGGTTGCCAAAACTATTTTGAAGAGGCGAAAGTCAAAACTAAAATTAAAAGTTATATGTCAATACTAAATCAAAAGTCAATAGTCAAAAATCAAAACTGGTTTCGACTTATTGCGAGACCTTTTGGCTTTCACACAGTTGCGAAACTCTCTATTTTTGGGAACCAACACTAATCATGTGACAAGAACCAATATATAGTGCATGCTTACGTGATTTTAAGAAAATCTACAGACTTTTCGAAAGTTGAGTTGAATTGAGACAAAGTCAACCCTAAATTGTTCAATTTTTCTTCTAGGTAATCTCCAGAACGGGAACAGAAAAGACTAAGGGCAAGTAGTCCAGCAAGACAAGGTAAAACACTTTTTGCGCCTTTACCAGCCCAACTACCATTATCATCTTGATGATAAAAAAGCCATTTTAAGCATTGTGGGAAAGCCAATTCGAAATCTTTTGGTAAATTGGTAGACTTGTATTTTTCAGAAGGGACCATCGCCACCCAAGCAGTATCATATGGTGACATCGATATCTTCCCGTATCCAATCCATTCGGTATCGTTGACATCATCTATTGTTCTTTTTGCTGGCTCTTCAGGTGTCTCGTAAAAAGTTGGCCAAACCGAATTAGCATGATTATTTAAAATTCCTTCAGCGTAATCTATTAGTTTTAGTTGTCGTTTTTTTGCTTCTTGTTCTTGTTCTTCTCTTAATAAATCATCAATGTTTTTATTGCTGTTGATAATTCTGATTTTTTTTGAACAATTTTTTATTTTTGAATATTTTTTTAATTTAATTTTGACAAAAAATGTTTTAATGGTTTTATTCATCTTCGAAAAAGGTGAAGGTGGTGGTGAAGGTGGTGAAGGTGAAGTTGATTTTTCGATCTTTCTTTTGACTTTATCATAAATAATTTTATGCATGGGGGGTTTTTTTTTAATTAATTGTCTAAAATATGTCTAATTTTTTTTTATCTAAATTTTTGTCTATAATAGTATAATAATAAAATAATTCCACAAGGAAAAAAAAAATTTTTTTAGAGAAAAATAAATTCCTTGAAATGTTATATTATTTATGATAAAATTATAGTTCCAATATAAAATGAATTTATTTCATTAAGCCTTTTGAATTAGAATTTTTATTGTTATTTATTTTTTTAATTCTCGATTCAAAAAATAATTAATTACATATCATCGGATTAGAACCAGTAGTTTAAAGAGAAATAGAATCACAAATACCGTTATATCATATTTTCTCATGGATTTACACAAAAAAAATTTTTTTCTTGTCCCAAACTTTATTATTTGTTTATTATTTATCGTCATCATCTGGGAAATTAAAATTAAAATTAGAATTAATTAATAAATAGGTGATGGATAAAGAAATGGCTGAAAGAAGAAAATGTGTGAGAGAAGAATGGCATCACAACAAAAAAGATAACTGGTTGATGAATTAACCAATTAAAGGTTGTTATAAAAAAAAAAATGTTTTTAATTAAAAACGACGATATAAATTGCGTTACATTAAATCCGATCTGCACGCATTATTATTGTGCATATTTGTATGTGGAGTATTAGCATGTATTAAAGTATTAAAGTTCTGTGTGTACAATATTTAGAATGTACGACTCGAAATAAAATATAATAAACACTATTACTATGAGATCTGGGAAAACTCCTACTAATTCTCGAACCAGAAAATTAAGAATTAAAAATTATTAAAATAATCAATTAATGATTGGTTTTATTAAAGTTAAGTCATGTGATAGTATCTACGGAAATTATCTAATCTCATACTAACTTTCATTATACTTTCAATAATAATTAAACTTATATTCATTTCCATATTTATAAAAAAAGGTAATTTGCAGTTCATCACAATAGATTTTAAATCAATAAACAAACTCCGGTTTTTGAATTTGTTGACGTTACAGTTAGATGGATAATTCATTCATTTTAAATATTATTATTATTATTATTAATTGTATATACCAGTACAACAAGCCTTTCGACAGAATGCGAAAACAGCAATTTTGTGTTAATATCATATCAAATCTCTATATAAACCAGTTTGCGTAGTAGTATTTTTGAGTTCCTTTAAAGTTTCTTTCTTAAGCATCATTTCCGCATTCATTCATCATGATTCCGTTCTATTGAAAAGCTTTTCTATTATTTTGTATAATTAATAAAAACTCAAAGCATTGATCTTATCTATAAATTATTAATGATCGCTGGAGGGTTCTATTGTTTTTTTAGATCTCTGGTATTTTCCAGTATAGACTTTTTAATAAAACCCTTTTTAATAAAACTCTTTTTAATAAACCGTCCATTCATTATGAATTAGGCTTCATTCAAAATTAATCAATCAATTAATTGATCGACACACGTATCATTTTTTTAAAAAAAAGTAAGTTATAGTTACTAGATAGGCAAATTCTGAGTTTGAATTATCAATGTCACCAAAGGTGACATTGATAATTTAAATCAAAGTTTGTTCAGTATTTTGAGTCATGTAAATGACGTCAGTTAATAGGTGCTAAGTGACTAGTTGCTTATTTATCACGCGTTTCCTATGTAACATATTGCACAGTATTAATATAAAATCCCCCTTCTAAAAATTCTTTTAACTCTTTAATCTAATCGTGTTTTTTTTCGCGTTTTTTTTTTCTTTCTTTAACTAATAAAATAAAATGGCCCAGGTCTACTTTAAGATATTTCTGTTTTCATTAAATAATATACATTTATTAGTTTTGCATAATTGCATGCATGAATGTTTAACATCCTATTTGTTTTAACTAGTCTACTCCTGAATATTTTAAACCAACTCAAGAAGAATTAGACAGGTTACAACAATCAAGAACATTCAGTGATATTACAAAAAATATTGATCATGAAGATGCAAGAGATTCTAAAAAAGTTATTATCCAAAATTACTATAAAATTGTACAATCTATAATAGATAAATTTAATTACTATATGTATATTGTCAACAATAATATAGTGATGTTAACCGTTTAAAAAACCTTAGCCGGCTAAGCCGTTTACTACCTAAATTGGTAATTTTGTTTCTATAACAAGAAAGTAACGCAGAAATCTATTACCAAATTTAGAAATTATGCATGCAGATTATTAGCCGGCTAACATCACTACAATAATACTGAATTAGTTAATGGCTATTAAATTTATAAATTTAAACTCCTACATTGTGTGATTAGTTTTCTCAGTAACTTTTAATACTGTGTAATATGTTACATAGGAAATGTGTGATAAATATTTATTTAGTCCACTAGTAAATAATAATTTTTTTGGTTTCATTATTACAAAAAAACAAAAAATATACATGAACCCAATAATCGATTTTTTGGTATCATTATTAAAACTTGGCTAATTTGATTGGTTAATTAAAACATTATCTGCAAATAAATTTTTTTTTTGATTTGTGTATCCAATGATCTCAATTGATTGGTTCATGTTGCTTTACCATCTTTTCTAATTATCGTTAGCATGATGGAAGTTTGATTTATCACGTATGGTGCAAGTCACTTAGTCCCATAACTTTTTATTGGTCATGTAGATTTTCAAATGGAAATGCAACACCCCAAGACCTTCCTCTCATTGATATGTCATTGGGGTATTCAATATAAGTTGATTAACAAATCTAATTAATGTCATAATGTAAATGCATATATGCGGATTTTTTTATGGTGCCCCCTTTTTTCTCTAAAAAAGGAAACGGTGTAACAAAATATTTCTTCATTAGTGTTTTATTAGTATTAGTATTATGAACTTTCAATTGCTAAGGCTCCTGGAAAATCGTTACATTTATAAAATTATTAGAGGTTTTGATCAGGATACATTTGTAGAACAGTGCTATGGAGAGAGAATCTTTATTTCATACAATTTTTTCAGGAGTTGCAATAGATAGAAGTATAATGATAAAGAAAGAAATTTTCTGTATTTCAAATGAGTTTTTTACGCCACTAGTATTTTTGATCCATTAAATCTTTCCATAGCTCTAATCTATATTAAATGTACTATCTTGCACACTAATTTAATATCTATATCTTTGAAAACGGAGGAGAAGTAGTGGTTTGAAAACAGAATGTTTTATTAACGTTTTATTAGTATTATGAACTTTTAATCACTAAGGCTTCTGGAAAATCGTTACATTTATAAAATTATCAGAGGTTTTTGATCAGGATATATTTGTAGAACAGTGCTATGGAGAGGGAATCTTTATTTCATACAATTTTTCGGAAGTTGCAATAGATAGAAGTATTATGATAAAGAAGAAATTTTCTGTGTTTCGAATGAGTTTTTTTACACCACTGGTATTTTTGATCCATTAAATCTTTCCATAGCTCTAATCTATATTACATATACTATCTTGCACACTAATTTGGTGTCTATATCTTTGAAAACGGAGGAGGAGTAATGTTTTGAAAACAGCATGTTTTATTAGCGTTTTATTAGTATTATGAACTTTCAATCACTAAGGCTTCTGGAAAATCGTTACATTTTTAAAATTATTAGAGGTTTTTGATCAGGATACATTTGTAGAACAGTGCTATGGAGACAGAATCTTTATTTCATACAATTTTTTCGGAAGTTGCAATAGATAGAAGTATAACGATAAAGAAAGAAATTTTCTGTATTTCGAATGAGTTTTTTTACGCCACTGGTATTTTTAATCCATTAAATCTTTCCATAGCTCTAATCTATATTACATATACTATCTTGTACACTAATTTGGTGTCTATATCTTTGAAAACGGAGGAGGAGCAGTGTTTTGAAAACAATATGTTTACTATGTTCTTTATGTAAATTTCGGAAATTCTGTATATGATATACAGATCACAAAAAAAAATCACATATAAACAATCAATAAATGACATTAATTAGTTTTGATTTTCTTAGAATGTCGCACACCCCAAAGATTTGTAGTGGACAAACATAGAATAATGATAATTTTTAAAAACTCATAGCTCCATCTAGAATTGGATTTAAAAAAAAAACTCTTCATTTTTTATTAATTCAAGCTTCAAACTAACTGTTTATGAAGAGCTTTTTGATTTATTTTATCTGCTGACATACTAGATAGAATTAGAAATTTTCATGTATATAAAAGTTGCCGGGATTAGACGCACCTTATATAAAAATAATTAATATAATGAAATCACATGATTTTCATATGAACTGACAATTCTCGTTATATTGTCATGTGACATATATATATCAAAAGGAATTTTCATACTATTTGATGAATTAGGAATTGAAAAATTATCAGTACATGAAAGTTTTTTTTATTAATAGATATTTATTTTTCAACATAATTATAATTAATATTCATATAATGATTGCACAGCTATTTACAAGACCTTTTTTTACACCAAAAAAAAGACAAAATTACAAAATTCAGTTCTGTTATAATTTAATTTAACTATATACTTTCAAAAAAAGACATCAGAAGAAGCTTTAATAGTAAAGAAAGAAGGAATCGAAAATGACGATGGCGGTGACGATGATGATAATCATATATTCAAAGATTTATCAATTAAATCTGTTCCATTAAGGATTAATAATTTAAATTTTTTTATTTATTATTAAGGCTCCGAATGAATCGACGAATACGAATACGAATCACCTGATTTTTGGTTTTAATCATGATTTAAACTAATCTGATGAAAATTACAGAATAGGCAGCGAATAGGTGCTAGTACTATTACTGTATACACACGAAATATTAATATTGATATAGAAACTTTCCCGTACCTAAATATAAATAGGGAAATGGTACGGAGTAGGTGTTTTCCGTATTAAAATATATTTTTCCTTATCATGTACGGCAGGGACCTGGATGATAGAAAAATACCATAACATGAAAAGGCTTAGAAACCATACCAATTTTACATAGTAGTATTGTTCTTTAAAGTTACTACTATTATTATTGCTATATAAAAAGGTTGTTTTTGGCTACGATTTTACGTTAGTTTATTATAAATAAAATGAAAGAGGATAAAAATCCTATTTATTTCATAGCTAATCAACAAACCCTTTTGAGCAGTTTCGGAAAGACCCTACATTAAGCCTAAACCTAAGCCTTTACTGGATTTAGGACACAGCGTCACTAATGGCAAACAATATATTAGTTGTGATGAAGACCTGAAAATGCAAAAATAGTTTCTTAGGCTACTAATATTATTAGTGGATCTATTAACACTAATATAAGAACGATTCATATTTTTTATGTAATCTAAGTGACATCTCTTTCCTTGTTTTATTTCTCTGGTCAAGGTCATAAAATCTTTTGCATACTTATTTATCTAGTCGAAAACTTCTTTAAAGTAAAATTTGCCAAGTTTTTGTGTTGTTATTGATTGGCATCAATTTAACTATAAAATAAATATATAATTAATGAATAAAATAAAAATCACCATCAATCCTTTTCCTTTATTATAAATAAATAATAAACGATCTTTTAAGTAATAATTAATGAATAGTAATTTCCAATTAATTAATAACAAAATTTTTATTCACCTTCAACATTTAAGAATATCAAGATCATTTAATGAAATATCTAAGTTTTTATATTTAGCAATATCTTCATCTAATATTCTACTTATATGATATGCATCTGGATGTGATCTGTGTACTCGTTGTGAATCACCACTGCTGCTGCCGCTGTTGCTGTCATCGTAATTATTAGAATCAATTTCATGTTTTTTAATTTTAGAAAATTTGAATAATCTCCTAATCAAACTATTATTTTTCAACTTTTATTATTAAGAATCATTTCCTTTAGTCACTTTTAGCAAAGTCGCGAAGTTTTCCAATAGTTGGTCTTTTTGATAAATCCACATCCCAACACTTTTGCATTGTTTGTGAATAATTATCACGCATTCCAGGTAATATTGGTGGTCGTAAGCCCTTTACATACATCAAGAATTAAAAAAATGATTATGAGCTCTATTGTTAAATGGTGGATAGCCTGCAAATATTTCCCACATAAGCATCCCAATACTGTAAATGTCTGTTTATTTTGTGATTTTTGCATTATTTGTGCCTCTAAATAGCTCAGGTGCAACATATGATACAATTCCATATATTTTATTTGATGATTTTTCATCAACTGGTCCACATAACCCCAAATCTGTAATATAACGAGTACCTCCTTGCAATAATATATTACCACTATGTACATCACAATGAATTAAATCTTTTTTGTGTATATCATATAATAATTCACATAAATTATCAAAGATTGTAATTCTGTCTTTTAATGTTAAATTTAAATGATTTTTTTGCAAATAATCTCTTAAATTTCCTTCTGAACAATAATCAATAACCATTGCATAATTTCCATTATTTGAGAATTTAGTTATACCATAGCAAGGAACAATCAATGGTGATTTAATTTTAGAATAATTTATTGTCTGTAATTAAATATAAAATCAATTATTATTATAATACAGTATTGTCTATTTTGTTTTAAATGACAACTACCAACCTCATCAAAAAAGCCTTTTCCTGGATTACTTGAATTATTTAAATCTTTTAATATTATTATTTTATGCTTCTAATAACTAAATTCCTTTTTATTTTCATTCTAATCAATAATAGTCCCACTTGTCCATGTAGTAGTATAAATTGAACTAAATTCACCTTCTGTCAACCTTTCTATTTCTTCAAATTGTTCAAAAGGTATCCACTCCAAAATATGGTTTGGCAAAGATGATTTCATTTGACATTGTCAAATAAAATTATCAACTATGTTATTGCCAGATATCCAAGACACTGTAATTGTAAGCTAATACAACATTCACAGAATCTGTCAGAGTATCTTGTTGATATACTGCATTGCTTAATTCAAAATTGTAAATAAATTCTTCTTTACTATTTTTTCAGAAAGCTCCTTGTTTTTTTTTTATTAATAAAAAAAAATAATCTGTTTTCTATACCAGAATCGACTATTGCATTATTGTCCATTTCATTATAAATTTTAAATATATTAAATATTTTTAGAGGTTGGAATCGTCCAAAAAAATCCTTAGTTGACTAAAATTTTTTTTAATAATATATATTTTTTTTTTAATTTACAAATTACGAATTCATTTCCATTTGAATCTTCACTTTTTTTAAATTACTTCTACACAAAACCATGTGTTATGATTCGTTTTTTAAAGGTCTTCTGGAACCACCGCTTAAATCATTGGAACTTGAAGCCAATGAACTATTGTACCTTGTATCGGAAGTGTTTATTTGTTCACGTGTAAAATTATCATCAACAATACCACCACAATTATCGTCATCATCATATTGATGGTATTGATACTCTTCCGCATAGAAATTTTCCATTTTGAACGATAAAACACAAAAATCGTAATTGGTCAGGCAATAATAATATTAGCATAATATCATTATTAGTATTAGTAGTATTAGTAGTCGACTATTAGTTGTTCAAAAAAAAAGTTTAGTCGATTCCAACCTCTAAATATTTTTATAAAATTTAAAGTTTAGCCTGAAACAATAAAAATTTTCAATGGGGGGGGGGGCTAAATACTAATTCGATAATAATTTTCTTGGCTTAGTATTAGCCAAATACTCATTTAGGCTACGCAACCAACCTTGATGTAAAAGTTGCTTTACAATATTTAAACTCGGACACTAAAGACAATTCGATTGTGTTTAGATTTTTTTCATTTTATGAAATGCAGTTTTGTTGTAAATAAATATTAATTGATTTTAATTCATAAAAAGAAAATTTTTTTTTTGTAAACCTGTTGCATTTTATTTCGAAAATAATTTTTTTTTAATTAGCATTAGTTTCATATAATATATAATAATAAACAAGCTTCTATTCAAATCTAATATTAAATTCATTTAATTAATAAAAAAATTTTTTTTTGTTATACGGGGCTGTTTCAGTAAAAGCCAAGATTACCCCCACATGCAATTCATTACAAAGATTAGTTTCAACTTAGGAACCACGCCGAGAAAGCTTGATTTTATAATACATATGTAAACTCGATAAGTCGGCCAAAATTTTCACCCCATTTTCTTAATATTTAAGTAATTTAATTCGATAAGTCGGTTTACTCGATAAGTCGGTCATATGAGCATGACCGACTTATCGAGTTTACATATGTAATGATTATATACTATATTAGTTCCATTTTTTACTAAAAAGGCCCCTTTTTTATTGTCCAGACCAAAATATTATTTTGTATCAAGTGCGTTTTTCTAATGCATTCCGTATGTACCTATTCAATACCTATACTATACATAATTCTTTAGATTTGTTGAGATAAGGGTTGACTGTATTTGCCTTTATTCTAGTTATAATTTAAAGTATAATCATCAGGAAATTTAAGGATTCCTTAAATTTCATGGATTCTTTATTATAAAATTTACAAAGATCCTCAAGGAATATTTAACTAAAATCAATATAAATAAAAAAAAAATAACAGGTATTTAATTAAATAAATTAAAAAAGAAGTTTATTTGCAAAGAATTCATTTTTAAAATCAAATCTCTCTATCATATGTACCATTCCTGCAATAGAATTGAATGAAATTACATCATAATGATTTACTAATTTCATGAGGGCATCCATATTTTAGAGGATGTTTTTTAGAACAATAATCATACCAACATACTAATACAACAGGTAAAACAGAATGATTAAGTGAAAATGAAATTTCAGCTAACAGAGTGGAAAATTAACTTTTGATAGAGGACAAAATAAACCAACTTGTATTGATAAGTCCTTCAAAAATTATACTAGATATGTTTGATGGTATTCTACCTGTAGATTTAATGGAGAAATTTAAAGCAAAAATTGAAAATTCATCTAATGAAATTATACCTATTCAGAAGAAGCAATGCTTCGAGTCTCCAACTCAACTAGATTTCACAAATTATTGACAAACTATTCCAGAAATATCTATTGAGGATGAGGAGATGTTGGGAGAACCTATGGAAATAGACTTTGCTATGTTATGCTTCCCCATTATCTGTTTTTTTTTGAAGTTGCGCATTTTCTTTTAATTAATGAATAGATGAATGAAAGAGTGAGCGAAATATAAACCAATATTTCTCAAAGATACATATGCTGTTTGTTCATAATTCAGCTGTTATTAATTATACTGTCTTTCGGTATACTCTCTTTTGATCAGCTCCTATCTTTTAATGATACTATATATACAGTTCAAGATGTAGTTTCAAAAAAATATTGGTCGTGTGACGTTCCTGCAGATCAATAGGGAAGTTTTAACATTAACCAAAAAAATTTTCTTAGCATTAATCTTAATAATAAAATAATTTCCTTCGTAGTCCTTTTATACAGTGATGATAATAAATAGGAATAATTGACATTTTCTTAAGTTATAGTACTAGTAGCTATAGTAGTAGTAATATAGATTATTAAATATAATATTGTAATTTATATTATCTTGTTAAAGGGAATAAGTCTTATTTTACAAATAGCTAAAATCTCTTGACAATAATATTAATACTAATATAGAATTTGTTGTATCAAACTGAGTATTAATATTTTATAAAACGAATACAACCGAATAAAATGAATAAAATGAATAAAACGAATAAAACGAATAAAACGAATAAAAATGAGTAAACCGAATAAAACCAATAAAACCGAATAAAACCGAATAAAACCGAATAAAACTGAATAAAACGAATAGACCAAATACACCGAGCAAAACGAATAAAAACGAATAAAACGAATAAAACGAATAAAACTGAATAAACTGAATAAAAACGAATAAAACGAATAAAATAGACAATTCAAATAGACTAAACGAATAATTCAAATAAAGAATTTGTATTAATATTAATATTAAAAATGTGCAACTGGAAAATGAAAACTCTTAGACCTACCTCGGTTACACGACAAGGTTTTTTTAAGATAAGATTTCCTTATTTTCTACCAATCATGGGTTTCTGGGTGGTGTGGTAAGAGTATTCCTGGAAAATGGCCTATTCTAAAATTTTATCAGAATGCCTGGAATTTTATAATAGGATTTTGCTCCCTGGTCTTCATCGCCTTGTTTGATGCTAATACCCTTGTTGTGTAATTAATCAAATATATTTAGTCATATACATTCATTTATCAGTGAAATTGGATTAGTCAATTCTTTAGACGCAAAAAGAATAATTTTATT